CAGACGATTTTTGGCCACTGAAAATTAGTCTCTCATATATTCCCATTAGATAGATCTAACGACAAGTATACAAAGCAAACTGAATTGTTCAATTTCTCTAACTGGTCGCATTCGTGCACGAATCATTTCAAAATTCAACTGTGCCATTAGAGAAGAGAGAGAGAGAGAGAGAGTCAGAGAGAGAGTCACAGCGAGAGACAGAGAGAGAAAGAGAGAGAGGGAGAGAAAGAGAACCGAATTGCTCTCATTCTACCATCTAAGCTCACTCTACTCAAATACGAATAGTATTATTCAAGTATGCTTGTTCTCATTTGATTCGATACATCAATCAGTGTACATTGTTCGTTTCCCATCCCTCTTGATTGTAGAACCAGAGAACAAGGAAGGAGGTGAGTTTTGTTATTGATCATGTTGCAGTTTGGTCTTGTTCATTTGTTCGACATGATTCACTTGACGGTGGGTGTGTAAGAATAAGGATCATGCTGTTGTGTTCTCGTGCCAATTTGATTCGTCTGTTTGGCGCAACAACAACGAGCATTTCACATTTGACTACTTAACTGTGTGCAGTAGATGAACACTTTTCCCAATCGGTTTCTTTATCCACACTGATTTGCTAAAGCAGATGAACACGATCCGGTTGGACATTGAAATTGAAAATGGCAGACGAATTTTGGCCACTGAAAATTAGTCTCTCATATATTCCCATTAGATAGATCTAACGACAAGTATACAAAGCAAACTGAATTGTTCAATTTCTCTAACTGGTCGCATTCGTGCACGAATCATTTCAAAATTCAACTGTGCCATTAGAGAAGAGAGAGAGAGAGAGAGAGAGAGTCAGAGAGAGAGTCACAGCGAGAGACAGAGAGAGAAAGAGAGAGAGGGAGAGAAAGAGAACCGAATTGCTCTCATTCTACCATCTAAGCTCACTCTACTCAAATACGAATAGTATTATTCAAGTATGCTTGTTCTCATTTGATTCGATACATCAATCAGTGTACATTGTCCGTTTCCCATCCTTCTTGATTGTAGAACCAGAGAACAAGGAAGGAGGTGAGTTTTGTTATTGATCATGTTGCAGTTTGGTCTTGTTCATTTGTTCGACATGATTCACTTGACGGTGGGTGTGTAAGAATAAGGTTCATGCTGTTGTGTTCTCGTGCCAATTTGATTCGTCTGTTTGGCGCAACATTAACGAGCATTTCACATTTGACTACTCAACTGTGTGCAGTAGATGAACACTTTTCCCAATCGGTTTCTTTATCCACACTGATTTGCTAAAGCAGATGAACACGATCCGGTTGGACATTGAAATTGAAAATGGCAGACGAATTTTGGCCACTGAAAATTAGTCTCTCATATATTCCCATTAGATAGATCTAACGACAAGTATACAAAGCAAACTGAATTGTTCAATTTCTCTAACTGGTCGCATTCGTGCACGAATCATTTCAAAATTCAACTGTGCCATTAGAGAAGAGAGAGAGAGAGAGAGAGAGAGAGAGAGTCAGAGAGAGAGTCACAGCGAGAGACAGAGAGAGAAAGAGAGAGAGGGAGAGAAAGAGAACCGAATTGCTCTCATTGTACCATCTAAGCTCACTCTACTCAAATACGAATAGTATTATTCAAGTATGCTTGTTCTCATTTGATTCGATACATCAATCAGTGTACATTGTTCGTTTCCCATCCCTCTTGATTGTAGAACCAGAGAACAAGGAAGGAGGTGAGTTTTGTTATTGATCATGTTGCAGTTTGGTCTTGTTCATTTGTTCGACATGATTCACTTGACGGTGGGTGTGTAAGAATAAGGTTCATGCTGTTGTGTTCTCGTGCCAATTTGATTCGTCTGTTTGGCGCAACATTACCGAGCATTTCACATTTGACTACTCAACTGTGTGCAGTAGATGAACACTTTTCCCAATCGGTTTCTTTATCCACACTGATTTGCTAAAGCAGATGAACACGATCCGGTTGGACATTGAAATTGAAAATGGCAGACGAATTTTGGCCACTGAAAATTAGTCTCTCATATATTCCCATTAGATAGATCTAACGACAAGTATACAAAGCAAACTGAATTGTTCAATTTCTCTAACTGGTCGCATTCGTGCACGAATCATTTCAAAATTCAACTGTGCCATTAGAGAAGAGAGAGAGAGAGAGAAACAGAGAGAGAGTCACAGCGAGAGACAGAGAGAGAAAGAGAGAGAGGGAGAGAAAGTGAACCGAATTGCTCTCATTCTACCATCTAAGCTCACTCTACTCAAATACGAATAGTATTATTCAAGTATGCTTGTTCTCATTTGATTCGATACATCAATCAGTGTACATTGTCCGTTTCCCATCCTTCTTGATTGTAGAACCAGAGAACAAGGAAGGAGGTGAGTTTTGTTATTGATCATGTTGCAGTTTGGTCTTGTTCATTTGTTCGACATGATTCACTTGACGGTGGGTGTGTAAGAATAAGGATCATGCTGTTGTGTTCTCGTGCCAATTTGATTCGTCTGTTTCGCGCAACAACAACGAGCATTTCACATTTGACTACTCAACTGTGTGCGGTAGCTGAACACTTTTCCCAATCGGTTTCTTTATCCACACTGATTTGCTAAAGCAGATGAACACGATCCGGTTGGACATTGGAATTGAAAATGGCAGACGAATTTTGGCCACTGAAAATTGGTCTCTCATATATTCCCATTAGATAGATCTAACGACAAGTATACAAAGCAAACTGAATTGTTCAATTTCTCTAACTGGTCGCATTCGTGCACGAATCATTTCAAAATTCAACTGTGCCATTAGAGAAGAGAGAGAGAGAGAGAGAGAGAGACAGAGAGTCAGAGAGAGAGTCACAGCGAGAGACAGAGAGAGATATAGAGAGCGGGAGAGAAAGTGAACCGAATTGCTCTCATTGTACCATCTAAGCTCACTCTACTCAAATACGAATAGTATTATTCAAGTATGCTTGTTCTCATTTGATTCGATACATCATTCAGTGTACATTGTTCGTTTCCCATCCTTCTTGATTGTAGAACCAGAGAACAAGGAAGGAGGTGAGTTTTGTTATTGATCATGTTGCAGTTTGGTCTTGTTCATTTGTTCGACATGATTCACTTGACGGTGGGTGTGTAAGAATAAGGATCATGCTGTTGTGTTCTCGTGCCAATTTGATTCGTCTGTTTGGCGCAACAACAACGAGCATTTCACATTTGACTACTCAACTGTGTGCAGTAGATGAACACTTTTCCCAATCGGTTTCTTTATCCACACTGATTTGCTAAAGCAGATGAACACGATCCGGTTGGACATTGGAATTAAAAATGGCAGACGATTTTTGGCCACTGAAAATTAGTCTCTCATATATTCCCATTAGATAGATCTAACGACAAGTATACAAAGCAAACTGAATTGTTCAATTTCTCTAACTGGTCGCATTCGTGCACGAATCATTTCAAAATTCAACTGTGCCATTAGAGAAGAGAGAGAGAGAGAGAGAGAGTCAGAGAGAGAGAGTCACAGCGAGAGACAGAGAGAGAAAGAGAGAGAGGGAGAGAAAGTGAACCGAATTGCTCTCATTCTACCATCTAAGCTCACTCTACTCAAATACGAATAGTATTATTCAAGTATGCTTGTTCTCATTTGATTCGATACATCAATCAGTGTACATTGTCCGTTTCCCATCCCTCTTGATTGTAGAACCAGAGAACAAGGAAGGAGGTGAGTTTTGTTATTGATCATGTTGCAGTTTGGTCTTGTTCATTTGTTCGACATGATTCACTTGACGGTGGGTGTGTAAGAATAAGGATCATGCTGTTGTGTTCTCGTGCCAATTTGATTCGTCTGTTTGGCGCAACAACAACGAGCATTTCACATTTGACTACTCAACTGTGTGCAGTAGATGAACACTTTTCCCAATCGGTTTCTTTATCCACACTGATTTGCTAAAGCAGATGAACACGATCCGGTTGGACATTGGAATTAAAAATGGCAGACGATTTTTGGCCACTGAAAATTGGTGTCTCATATATTCCCATTAGATAGATCTAACGACAAGTATACAAAGCAAACTGAATTGTTCAATTTCTCTAACTGGTCGCATTCGTGCACGAATCATTTCAAAATTCAACTGTGCCATTAGAGAAGAGAGAGAGAGAGAGAGTCACAGCGAGAGACAGAGAGAGAAAGAGAGAGAGGGAGAGAAAGAGAACCGAATTGCTCTCATTGTACCATCTAAGCTCACTCTACTCAAATACGAATAGTATTATTCAAGTATGCTTGTTCTCATTTGATTCGATACATCAATCAGTGTACATTGTCCGTTTCCCATCCCTCTTGATTGTAGAACCAGAGAACAAGGAAGGAGGTGAGTTTTGTTATTGATCATGTTGCAGTTTGGTCTTGTTCATTTGTTCGACATGATTCACTTGACGGTGGGTGTGTAAGAATAAGGATCATGCTGTTGTGTTCTCGTGCCAATTTGATTCGTCTGTTTGGCGCAACAACAACGAGCATTTCACATTTGACTACTCAACTGTGTGCAGTAGATGAACACTTTTCCCAATCGGTTTCTTTATCCACACTGATTTGCTAAAGCAGATGAACACGATCCGGTTGGACATTGGAATTAAAAATGGCAGACGATTTTTGGCCACTGAAAATTGGTGTCTCATATATTCCCATTAGATAGATCTAACGACAAGTATACAAAGCAAACTGAATTGTTCAATTTCTCTAACTGGTCGCATTCGTGCACGAATCATTTCAAAATCCAACTGTGCCATTAGAGAAGAGAGAGAGAGAGAGAGTCAGAGAGAGAGTCACAGCGAGAGACAGAGAGAGAAAGAGAGAGAGGGAGAGAAAGAGAACCGAATTGCTCTCATTGTACCATCTAAGCTCACTCTACTCAAATACGAATAGTATTATTCAAGTATGCTTGTTCTCATTTGATTCGATACATCAATCAGTGTACATTGTTCGTTTCCCATCCTTCTTGATTGTAGAACCAGAGAACAAGAAAGGAGGTGAGTTTTGTTATTGATCATGTTGCAGTTTGGTCTTGTTCATTTGTTCGACATGATTCACTTGACGGTGGGTGTGTAAGAATAAGGATCATGCTGTTGTGTTCTCGTGCCAATTTGATTCGTCTGTTTCGCGCAACAACAACGAGCATTTCACATTTGACTACTCAACTGTGTGCGGTAGCTGAACACTTTTCCCAATCGGTTTCTTTATCCACACTGATTTGCTAAAGCAGATGAACACGATCCGGTTGGACATTGGAATTGAAAATGGCAGACGAATTTTGGCCACTGAAAATTAGTCTCTCATATATTCCCATTAGATAGATCTAACGACAAGTATACAAAGCAAACTGAATTGTTCAATTTCTCTAACTGGTCGCATTCGTGCACGAATCATTTCAAAATTCAACTGTGCCATTAGAGAAGAGAGAGAGAGAGAGAGAGAGACAGAGAGTCAGAGAGAGAGTCACAGCGAGAGACAGAGAGAGATATAGAGAGCGGGAGAGAAAGTGAACCGAATTGCTCTCATTGTACCATCTAAGCTCACTCTACTCAAATACGAATAGTATTATTCAAGTATGCTTTTTCGCATTTGATTCGATACATCAATCAGTGTACATTATTCTTTTCCCATCCTTCTTGATTGTAGAGCCAGAAAACAAGGAAAGAGGTGAATTTTGTTATCTGCGTCAGTGTTTTATTTCTGCTCTCATTTGTGCTGTTTTTTTCTCCCTTTGATATGTTGTCTGTTTTATTTTGATGTCTGCTTTTTGGTTCGTTTTTTCTGTCTTTTCTTACTTTTTCTTCCTTCTACTCTTACCTTATATTCCAATTTTTATATATTGCGAATGCTCAATTTTTCCAGATTTTTATGGGCTTCTTTTGCACTCAGTTTGGAACGATGTAATGTTCGTTTTTTTAGACTTGTGCGTTCCATTATCGTTCGCTTTCTGTCAAATTTTAGTTTTTTTTCATTTTGTATCATCTCCTCCATTCTCATTTCCTTTTTTCCCATTTCTATCTTGTTCTTCTTTATTAAAATTCAATTTCTGAATTATTTTGACAAGCACGTTCTCATACGCTCACACTTCTTACTCTTGATCCATGTATGTTGCCATTTTGGAGGCACGTCTCCATTTATGCTCACAATTACTCAGTTGTCCTAAGTCGTAACAGATCTGATGAACACCGACTTTTCAGATCGTTTCACATGATTGGCAACCTTGGGTGGTCTAGTCCGATTTTGCAGATGGCCTTCGTCTTTACTTGTATACTGCATTGGCTCACGCACTTGTCTACGTGTTTGAGTTTTCACTTGTTTGCTTGTTTTGGCTTTTGTCGTAAGTTATGTATGTGTGCACCTGCATCTGCACAAAATGTTTTCGTTTTTTCGTTTAATTAGGCCTATAACTCTTTCATATGGAAGCGGCTATCTAAGAAATACCCTTCATTTTACTCGATAACTAATTCAGCGGCATAAAGTCGAACTAGTGATAAAACTGATGTTTTGGTGCTGACTTATTCACTTAACACTCCATACCCGGAGTTTTTCTTTTCTATGGGACATCATGATTTGTTGTTTCCATCATTCTGTTACACGCACCTAGAATACCTGTACGAAAGTGTTTCTTTCTTAATACGAATACAACAACTCAACTTTATATCTTATCTATCTGCCATTACTTTCCCAATAATCTGCTGAACAAACAGAAACCACGGCTACAGGTAAGCTAGACTCAGTTGCCGGTCCTGGTGATAATTTGTGTCGAGATCGATTAACATTTTGGGTGGTTTCAAGGAATTAAAATTATGCCGTATCCCGGTCCAAATTAGGGTAATCATTACTTCAAAATAAACATTCTGAATGCTGACTACAGCCTTTATATTGCCTCATCAATTGTAAGTACAGTTTTCCCTGGGGGCACGAATAATGCACATACATTTGACTATTCAGTAGTGCTTTTCCATTTAAATCCTTTTCCAGGAGGCACCTCGAGACTCACCAATCACTTGGCTGTCCTTGAATTCTCACTTAGGTGTCTTGGATTGATCCAGTGGTGAAGATATATCCTAGCCACCGATACTGTGAGAAGATCTAACAAGTTTTTTCTGCTCATTATTTCCTAACTAATAAACAGAAAGGTTATCTTGGCATAATCGAAGATTTTTTGACGGCTCACATCAGTCTTTTCATAAGCCAGGATGAGACGAGATTCCATTGCGTCTAGAAAAGCTCTCCCAACTCAAAACTGATTTGTATGTTATATACTGCAAACCCCCACCAATAAGCAGGTATAATTTGCAAAACAATGTTTCACTCCGGAGAATTATATTCGTCTATTTTAAGGAAGTGATTGGATAATGCAAATAAGAAAGATATTCTGGTGATCTCAAATTTTGCGAAAAGTTGCAAAACGTCTCAATGATTTCCAGCGCAATCATAAAAGAGCAAGAAACAGCCAAAGAATAACATAATTTATATGGCATGCACTTGATGCTTCAATCATGTCACATCTCAATTGAAACCAGCTCTCAGGTCCTTGAACAATTCAACAAAATGCATATTACTTATTCGAAATACTATATCAAATTTACTATTCGGCTTATTGATAAATGTTCTACCTTAGTCCACGTTTTTACAGCAAAGGAATTGTAGTAAAGAAAACGCTTTATGCATACCATATCTTGGTCTGAATTACCAAAATATTTGAAAATATTTTAGTCTTATCAGTTCCACAACTGATATCTATTCCGAGTACTCACTATGTATATAAGGGCAAAGGCAAACTGAAGTTTCGATTGATTCAGATTACGATCTTGGTATCCAATACTGGTCCTGTTAACAACTGGGATTTTATTTGTACTGACTGGGTGTCATCACACCATTTAAACACACGTTCATACTGAGGTTTGGTAAAGAAGTAGTCGATTCACAGTTAAACATTTCATGAAGTGATTCACCATGCAGCATGCAAGTTGAACTAAGCATTTCATACCATCAGAGAACTAAATATTTGCTTGTTCTAATTCAGGAATCGCCACTAGTGCATTTCTTACAAAAGCAAAAAAATCATGCTTGATTTGGAGCCCCACTGAGTACAGCTGGGCCATCTGGGGCAGGTTCACAACAGGATGCTTCTCGGTAGCAGTATATACTGCTGATTTTAGCAGTGACTGAATTTTGATATACGAAGCTCGGCCTTCACATCGTGATACACTCTTATAATCAAAACATTCACATTGCGGCTTACGGTGCAGTAAAACTAGTACAGAGAACCTAGAGAGTACGGCTACATATTCAGTTTCTATTCTGGACCAAAACTTAACCTTTGGACAATAGCCGAATAATGTCAGTGCATTACTGTTAGTGATGCATCTCACTCAACTAGAAGATCACGTGCTACATTTGCTTCAGAGTGGCTTAATCTATATTAGGAAATTTCTACTCAATTTGATATGTATGTCCTAACAGCAGTATTACACATACATACGGTTACTGGCCATTCATATTTGCCTAATAAGCAAAACCACATCAGCTTATGGACATTTTCAATCAACTTATTGCAATAAGTGCATGGAAAAACTTTGAAACTTCCAAATTTGTGCTTCCTTTGCGAATAAGAGACCTACACATCACCATGACAGATGCGTAAGGAACTGATTCAAACAAGAGGAAAGCTTTGTAATATCCTGATTTCTAATAGGAAACTGTCTAAGCATCTACTCCTGGTGAGACATTACCAAACTGTCAAAAGATACCGGATGAAAAGCCGTGAACTAACTTTCGTTAACATTTTGAACCAAGCTTGCACAAATCCGGAAGAATAAAAATCTTCAAGAACAATACATTGAGGTTTATTGGTGGGACCAAATACCTTGAAATGGATGATTACTGTTATAGCTACCATAAGCTGTCAAAGTGTTCAACGTCCTTCTGTATTGAAACAGACTTGAACTGCGTACGCTCTTAGACGCTCGCCTACCAGATGCACAACTCTTGTTTCTTCGTTGCCTTGAACTAGCTGTCTGTGTGAAGCTTCGGCGTTTTCAACGGCTTCAAATACAACCTCACGGATGGACACAGCGTTTTACGTAGCACTGCCCAGCGGCGGGCACTTTTTCCAAAGCCGGTGAACTGGTATTCTTGCCTCTTGAAGTTCCAATCTGAGGACAAACTCTTCCGAGAAATCCTCTGGAATCCGACAGCTACCACGTGTTCTTCTAAACCATCTTCGGAATACTGTCTCGTAGACGTTCTTGTAAAATACCAAGCATCACCTACACGTGACATACTCCCGAAAAACCGGTTCAGCTATCTGTACCCCCGGGCATTTTAGATTACAATCTTAGGTTGCGATACTAGATCTCCTGGACGCGTTGTGCTGTCGGTGATAACCGGTATCTCAGTGACTGCATCGTTCATTCGACTCATGCAAACAAAAGGTGATTTCGTCAGTGAACAAGGTCGAAAATATGTTCTTTAGTTTTCGAAAGCTTGCGCCCGTTTTGAACTGCTCCACCCGAATTGGCCTTAACCTTCTCAAATTCGTGCCACAAGCAGGTGTTAGGAAAAAAACTAAACGTAACGGTCAGCATCTCCTAGATATCATCGTGACATGTGACATTCCTCGAATAGCTTCAAGTTGTTTTTCCAAAAAATTCGATTTACGAACGGTAGTAGCTGAAAACAGTCGCTTGTCTGTGCAGGGATGTGTTATCGGGGGTCACTGTTATGCGCTTCACGACATTCTTGCGATCCCTTTACCACCTGCGGCCTCCCATTCCGAATATGGGGCACACTGTATTTTGTGGTATTTAAAATACTTCGTCTGTTACTAATCCTTGACCAAATAAGTCGCAATATTAGACTTCCACAAGGAGTAGACAGTATTTCCGAACACCTCATTCGGTCATTCTGAAAATATATGGTGTCACTAGCGAATGCAGGAGAGGAAATATGCGGTAAAATCAGGGGATCCTATTGTAACAAGGACGACAAGACGGGCTACTATACCTGTATTTCAACAGCCAATCAAGTCCAGTTTATGAAACACGTATAATCTTTCATATAGGCCCTTTCTCAGACCGCCGGGCACATATGCTGCTCTTGCGGCTGCTGGAGTGCTTCGGATTCTTGCTGATCAGTTGCCGGTGGCCAATAGCTTGCTTCTCTTGGGCATCATTTATATTCAGCTGGTCCATTGTCCCGGTTAACGGCTTCAACGGCAGCCCTTCACCTGGGCTATCTCGTTGGTAGATGAAAATCCCGCTGCTTTGCCTGTACTAGTCCGTATGCCTACTTTTATCTAATTCGAGAGGCCTCCGACAAATTCACTGTCTGCTCCTTTGTATGTGGCCTTCGTTTGGTTCGTCCGTTCGTCTTGATATTCACCCCTTTTCCTTGCCCCAGCATTCTCCGTTACATTATGATTTATCACTCATTGCAGCTGAGAATTTGCAGTCCACTGGAACTACTTGCGCTCAAAAGGGAATCCACTTTTATTTTACTGAGTGAAGGAAAGTCTAAATTGACAGAAAATTGTTTTTTATTCAACATTCTCAAACCTTATTTGGACTGACGCTTGGTCGTAATCCCGTGTTAGACCATATTGTTCGATGAATCCCACTATAAAATGGATAAGACAAGTATGAATTTTGTTAGATATTAGGCAGATGAGTGATAAAATTTGCACAGAGAATAACCAAAACCATGGCATTGTTTGAAAGAAGAGATTGCAGGTCAACTGTATTTTCTACGGGAATAATATCTACACAATTCAAAACCTCTCTTGGCCATAATGTGTGGACTGTGGAAGATCTTCCGTTGTATTGACTACAAGGAATTTAACAAGGTTCAACCTCAAATGAGAAAAACATTTTATTATCATCATCAGATAAGAAAAACTAAAAAAGAATACATGTGGTGATTTCATGCCGTACGCACACTTAACAAACTGAATTCAGTTGGGTCCAGTGGATGACATATTCAAACCTTTTCGTGAGCATATATCTGTTTGCAATGGACAGCAGAACAAATGGTGCTTGTACTGCATTCATTCGTAAACTCGTACACATGAACCTCGATGGTTAACGGTGAACAAGGAGATAAGCAGACAGGCAAACAAATCTAGACACCGTGGGATCGAATAGTAAGCAATATCCGAATTGAACCCTCACTAACACTTCCACTGTGAAACTCAGTGTGTCTTGATAGGCTCGCATCTGTTTAATGAGGAACTATCGAAAAGTCGTCTCGCAAAGTGTACAAGTGACATTCTCCGAAAAACACCCCAGTAGCGTTTTGGGATGGACATTACTATAGAAAAACGCAGGTATTGGGGCTTGAAAGATTCACACCGGCGCACAAATGATCAGACATTAAATGCCCAATTTCATGTGTAAATCCGCTAGGCACAATATCTAAAACCTCGTTTGCTTTGCGTTGTGCACAATAGGTTTCATCATACTTTCTGTCGATCGTCTGTACAAGCAAATTTGTGTAAACCCTTGCTCAAATACTTAGTTTTGATAGTTGGCCTAGCTTCTGATGCAACACAACAAGCACCTGATCAAATGGTGCACGTGTCGCATTGGGAGTCTACGTAACGTTTTGGTCTGAGTACCAAAAGAATAGACTCGCGTCCTCGGCTGCTGATTATATAACTGATATGGCGTGAATTTTTTCGATGAACGGGAATGATCCAAAAATGCTTGCATACATATAACTGGCAAAACAAGTTTACGCATGTTGCCTCGGTACACGCGTGTGCGTGCGTGTTTGTGTGTTTGTGTGTTTGTGGTATTCGAATGGTACGTGTCGCATTTGCACGCTAGTGACATGTCACGTTTTAGTCCGTGCTGGTAAAGAACTCATCATTTTGACAATGGGAATCAACACAATTGTGAATCAAGGGCTTCATTACTAAAGACATCAAGTTTGCAGTGAAAAAATGGGTGGTACATGAAAACTGACAAGAACTTTTGATTTCCTTACCACGAACCATCTAACTGAAAAATCTTGAGATATCTCGTGCTCCGACGTCGTCTTGT